AGGGCCATGACGATCGTGAGGGACCGGTGACGGTCGTAACGAACGTGACGACCGTGGCATGGGTGTGACGAGCGTCACCTCAGCATTTTTCTCATTTTTTGTTCTTTTACTTCTGTTTCTCCCTAACGGTAAATTATCCTGACTATCAATTTTACCCGAATACAACTACGATACGACGAGACATAACAAAGATTGATAATCAATTTAATTGAAATAAATGGGCGTTACAGCCGGCATAGTAAAACTGGGCAAGTATTGCCCTTCAACTCCCGTTGTTGTAGGTCTTGCCTCAGGTCGACACAGAGTCGTGAACGGTCCGCTATGTGCGGTCGAAGTTATTGTTGTGGATTCAGTGCTTACAACCGTTACCGGTGGTAAGACCAGATTTTCCTGTGAAGATGGTTCTTTGTTTTATCATGGTGTTACCATCTTTCCACTGTGTAAATGCATATACCCAAACCTTCGGGTCCCACCAGGTGTGTTAATTTTTTCGCACATTTTTTCCATGCGGGACCGGCCAAACTAGTCCCAGGACTCTGGTTCTGGGTGCGTTGATTACAAAGGATATGTGATGCACTCGACAATTTTGTGTTTTTGACGGTGTATATAATGAAATTTAAACAATTAAAGACAATGATGCTTTTAGTAAGACAAAGGAATATTAGAAGAGTGACATAAAAGTAAAGGCATTGTTTTCATAACATAAAACTGGGTAAATTCAACGTAAAAAAGGAAAGTGCAAATGGGCGTGTTCGTACATTTTGTAAGGAAATGGGAACTATTTTCTCTCAGTGTGCGATACTCAGAGTGTTTCTCTTAAAATGTTCACCAAAAACGCCCCTTTCTTCAAGTAAGGCTTTGCTTTATATAGGCAAATAAAATAATCTTCAAATCGCTTCTGGAGCCGCCACGTGTAGGGCCACTACTTTCGTAACTTCCCTCATGTTCTCTTTTTCAAATCTATTTCCCGTCAGGCAACAAAACCCCTTTGTCAGGTGTACCAATTGTTATCTTGGTCGACCAGCCCATGTCTCTGTCAACCACGCACCTTTTAATGTACTGTCGACTTAGGCTGTGACCCTTGAGTCTCGTCGACTTCGACATTTTGCTGCCAATAATCTTTGTTGGCTTTTCCCAGCCAACTAATATTGTTGGTTTATGACATTTCTTCATATTTTCTGTCGATGTCGACTCTCTTGGTGTCGATATTTTTTAGTTGGCTCTTTTTCAGCCAATACCCCGGCTCAGTTTATTCAAACTCATACAAACCAACACAATCACTTAATTCCACTTTGCATTCACTATTCTTGCAAACCGATCCCAAGGTGTGAACCTTAAAGGAACTCTTGATTCCTGCATTAGTGGTCTCAAATATAAAAGCAAACGCGATGTTATTGCACAAATACCCTCCTATTTGTCCCGAGCTTAGGCTTTGTCTCGTTTTTTTTTAAGACAAGTATTCCCTACCACCACCGGCCAAAACTCCATATTCCACCACCAAACCTTATCACTTTCCCGTTCCCAATATACCACCCAGAAATAATCCTCAACATCCATTGTTACCAACTCCAAAACCAAACTACTCGTCTTTCAAAAGCCACCCAGTCAAAAACATTGCCAAAGAAAAATACAACTCTACCGTGAAAAAGAGCTTTGCTACTACTACGATGAAAAATTCTCTATCACCCACAAATGTCCAAACTGCCACTTATTCTTATTTCAAATGGAATAAGATGATCCTGAACCACCCCCTGAACCAATTTCACACACCTTAACTGATACACCTCCCTTGGGAGACTCACAACATCATTTGTTTTTAAATGCTTTGAATAGGTCACATGGTATGGGCACAATGCACTTCCAAGGTCATACTTAAGGCATTATTGTGGATGTGTTATTGGATAGTGGAAGTTTGGATTATTTTTTGTAACCAAGGATTGCTCACAGCCTATAATTTTCAATTCAATCAACTACTCAGTTCCAAATCTTGGTTGGTAATGGAAACTCTTTAACCACTATGGGCTACATTTCAAACTTACCAATAGCTATTATGGGTAACACTCTTCATTTACCTATTATTAGTTTCCTATTTCTGGGGCATAATTGGTGTTAGGTGTACCCTGGTTAAAGGCCTTAGGACCCCACATAGTTGATTACAATGTTTTGTCAGTAAAGTTTTATGTTATGAACAACTTTATTACTTTATATGGTGACACACAAAACGGCCTCGGCCAAGCGCAATTCAACCACATCAAAAGTTTACATCACACTAAAGTTATGGATTCAGCTTTTACTCTTTAATTTCACAAGGTCTTCCCTACTGATACCACATGGCTTCCTAACTTGCATCTTGACATAGCAGTTGTCTTGCTTCCTTTTGATGTTGTGTTTGTTGAACCAAAGAGATTGCGACCAACTAGGTTTCAAGACCATGCTATACCATTAGCTGAAGTCAGTAACCCAGTTAAAGTCAGGCCTTATCGTTATCCGTGTAGTCAGAAGTCATAAATTGAAACAATGGTTAAGGAGATGCTGACACATGATATTATACAATCCAACAACAGTCCATTTTCTTCATCGGTGCTTAGCTTCTTGTTAAGAAGAAAGATGGATCATGGAGGTTTTGCATTGACTATTGTGTTTTAAATGCAATCATTGTCAAGGACAAATTTCCTATACCTACAGTGGCGAATTATTGGGTGAGCTATATGGAGCATAATTTTTTCTATGTTATATCTGAGATCCAGGTACAACCAAATCTTATTCAAGCATGAGGATAGACAGAAAACTGCTTTTAGAAGCCATCAAGGCCTTTATGAATGGCTAGTGATGCCTTTTGGGCTATCAAATTCCCCTGCATCATTTCAAAGCCTTATGAATCATGTCTTTCGAGCACAACTAAAAATATCAGTGCTTGTGTTGTTTGACAAAATTTTATTCTATAGTCCTACTTGGGCCGCCCACTTATCTCACTTAACTAAAGTACATCAGCTACTATGCCGTCACTCTCTTTTTGCCAAACTATCCAAGTTTTTCTTTGGCTTCACGGAAGTTGATTACTTAGGTAATACTATATCTAATCAAGGTATGTAAATGGATAACAAGGTCAAAGTTCTGCTAGAGTGGTCGTTACCCCACAAACCTCAAACTGTTATGCATTTTTTTGGGCTTATCGAGCTATTATCGCAGGTTCATTCGGCATTATGCAACCATAGTTTCACCCTTGACTACGATACTCAAGTAGGATGCTTTTGAATGGAATCAACTAGCTACTGATGCTTTTGTGACTTTTCAACAAGCTATCATTGTGGCTCCCGTGTTGGCACTACCATATTTTTCTAGGCCATTCATATTGGAGACCGATGCCTCTAGTACAAGTATTAGGGCAATTATGAGCCAAGAAAAATACCTTATTGCTCATTTTTCAAAGAAGCTTAACACTCTGATGTAACACAATTCTGCATATGTTTGAGAATTGTATGCAGTCACTAAGGCCTTAGCTAAACTTAGGCATCATATCTTTGGCCATAAGCTTATTATTAGAACTAATCAACAAAGTTTAAAAGCTTTAGCTGATTAAACTATCCAAACTCTGGAGCAGCAAAAGTGGTTACATAAGTTTTTGGGTTTTTGATTTTACAGTTGAGTATAAACCCGACAAAGACGACATAGATGCAGATGCCCTGTCAGGGTCATTCTTTATGGCTATATCAGGTTCGATCAATCCTCTCAGCGGTCATTAATACCGCAAAGATACAAAATAAATTACCAAGTAACTAACTCCCTTGATGAGGTAGGACCCTTGGCAAACGAACCGGATATTCAGAAAGTTAGACGTGGAAAGAGAGTGAGAAATCATAACAGAAAATACACTAATGAATTTGGTTAAATAAGAGAATGATTGGAAATGATTGAGGGAATTTAGTGGATGGAATTTTGATTCTCTTCTCTCTTGGAAGTCTTAAGTTTTACTAGCCTATTCTTAAATTCCATTGTACCTTCTAGAATTGGTTAACACCATTATCACTGCTTAGTAATTATTTCAGTTTTACTTCTCTGTTACACAAATTCACTTAATAACGATTGCAATTCATTAAAAATACCTCTATGCAAAACTTCAAATACAAATCACTAGAACGGTAAAGTTCTTACTAACACATCTTATTTTTATTTTTTCGTTGATTAAAACTTGAAATTTCTTATTATGAAAAAAGCTATATAAAAGAAATAAAAATAAATAAAAAAACTTAGGTTGTCATCTTCTAATTTGAAATACATATAAATTAAATAATAATTAAAAGTGTGTTTATGTTTATGTGTGTGTTAGGATCAAATGACACCAAAATGTCAATCTTAGTAATATTACACCTCATATGACTCTTTACAACATATTCGTATAACAAAACTCATTGTTAAATTGAAAACTTTTATCATGTAAATCATGTAAATAAAATTTAAAATCAATCGAAAATTATTTGACATGTCAACGATGAATATAAATGATGTTGTAAAGTGAAGTTACGTGTTATCAGATTTTGATTTTTTCATATTAGTTTTCATTTATTAGGATTAACTAAGATTTAATTTTTAGAAGAAGAAAAATTAATTAGTTTTGATTTGATTTTGAGATGGAAAAAAATAATTTAATATAAAATATAAACCCTAAATTTAAATTTGATTTGATTCAAATTTAAAATTATAAAAAAAAACATCCTATTATTTAGGATTCAGTTACTTATAGATTCGATATAAAATTAAAATATAATAATATTTGAAATGATTCAAACTTAAAACTATAAAATTAAAAAAATCTTATTATTTAGGAGTTAGTTAGTTATAGGTTGTTTTAAAATATATCGAATCAATTTGAATCAGAAACCCTAATAAGTAGTTATAAATATGTTGCACCATAAGTCCTCAATATCCATTCAATCTAAATCAGAAACCCCAATAACTCCATCATGTCCGAGAAACCTTCGCCTACCAAGTTAGCACAAATCATGCACAAGTACAGAGATCACATCTGGTTTTGTTGTGTTGTACTTTTAATGTTAATTTTTCTACTATATATTCTCACTCTTATTCTCACTCTCGAAAACAATTCACCAATGGAATTCGCCATAGCTGATGCCTCAATCAAGCAGTTCAATATCACAAGTGACAACACCTTATACTACAATTTTAAGGTCAATATTACTGTGAGAAACCCAAACTGCTTCAAAGCTTTGTACACGATGAAAGCGATTTCATCTTATAAAGGTAATAGAATTGCTGAAGTGGATATGTCACCCATGGACCCAGGTTTTGAGAAGACCATTGCGCTCAAACCTGTCGTGTTTTACGGCAACAGTTTTATCAAACTCAGTGATCAACAATTTATTGAGTATGATAATGAGACACGATTGGGGATTATTAATTTAGATTTGAAATTAGATTTGGAATCTAATCAATATGTTTATTGTCTAGGTTTGAGAGTTCCTTTGATTTCTGATGGAAAATTAGAATCTACTTTCAATGTTACCAACTGCACCCGTGAATACCAGGGATGGGGCTAGTAATTAGGTTAGTTTATCTGTTTTTCATTTAATATATAGATGGAAGTATGGAACGTTTAATATAATATTCTGTAAAACACTTCTATAAATATTTGGAACGTTTAATATAATTTATGCCCATATTATTTTGATTTAGAAGATCTTTTGGAACGTTTAATATAATTTAGAAGATTTTTTTAATTCTATAAATATTTGGTATTAAATTATTAAAAAATGGTCAAATATTTTAAATGGTAAAAATTCATACAACAACACAAAGTTGAGGGTTCAAGAAAAAACAACAATCAAGATCCACACAAAAAATGAATTTGATACTCATAGACAAGAATAAAACTCAAACAACATGGATAATGATCAAAGGCTCAAAGGGGTTACAAATGATCACACACTCAAGGTGAATTGACTATTTGGCTAGGTAGTTGTGCTCAAAATGAAACAAGTGCCTTAATCCTTTTCATGCTTTCATATAATCAACACAAACAAAAGATTAAGCATAAAATCCAGTTAAAACAAGATTATTGGTACTCCGAGCATATATGAACAACGAAAGGCTTCCTCGTGATTCACAAAATGAACAAGTATACAAAAGAATGAATGGCATGGAAATTGTAAAAAGTCTAAGTATCATGAATATGCTAAAGCCTAGAAAGCGATAAACACATACCTTGAACGTGTACAAAACTTTAAACACTATCATTACCACGCATTCGCAAGTTGAAACACTCAAACTTGGAAAATCACCTCAAATACCTCAAGCTACCAAACAAAAATTTGAGTCCAAACAACAATAAAATACCGGGTGAAAATGGATTAAACAAGTTGTAAAGTGAAGATTTGAGAATTTTACGAATAATCCGAGAACAACTTGTTTAATGAATGTTCACCACACTACCTAAGCTAGAAGGAAAAAGTAATAACGAAACAAAAATGGAAAAAACATGCTTGTTTTACGTCGTAAGCTCGACGCCTTTATTGTGCTTAACTAGTAACTTCCTTCCTTCATGCCATGTGATGTCTCACCGTGCAAACCAAAAGCAAGTGTCCTAACCAACCACTTGAACAAATGTTACGAGAACAAAATATATACAACACTTAAATAAACATAATGGAAGACAAAAGCAAAACAAGTATCTATACAAGCATATATATACAATTATGTGCAAAGCTTAGAAATATAGAAACTATCGCAATGTGACTCAATATCACAACCAATCCCCGGCAACGGCGCCATTTTGTTGAAGCGGTAAAGCAGCAAGCAAAAATATTATTTTCTCGGAAGAATTTTCTCCGGGATTTATCGTCTCCACAGGGATCAGTGTGAGGGAAAGAATGTCGTTCGACAATCTCTACGTTTCTAAGCTTGGGTTTGAATGGTTTGGGATAAAAATTCAAAAGGAAAAACATAAAACAAGAAAATAAGTACATTCTTAAGAAATGAGAAAACTCGTCAGGAGTTGTATTTCGTTCTACCTATCATGTACTAAAAAATATATGGATCAAATGCACGCAACCTAATTCGCTCGTCAATATCATCACGTATCGCTCACAACAGAGTTTATCTCTAACACAAAGTCGAGAGATCAACCGTATCGTCTCATTGTTGATCTCTCACACAACTCGACAACACGGAGCATTAAGAATCGATACCCACGTGAATATTAGTCCTAAATCTATCTCTAGCATTTAGAATCTAATAGATGTTCATCTTAGATCGAGTTTGAACCGTATATCTCTATAGCAATCCAAACCCATTAAGTAAAAAATCAAGATAAGCATCGATAAAGATTTGTAAAAGAGATTTTATACAAAGATCCATAAATATACATACAATCAAGATAAACTTACATACAAAACCCCAACAAATGAAAAATACATAGAGAGGAAGGAAGAAGAACACAAATCTCACGGTCTGTCAACTCCGATTGAAGTGGATTCGACTCCGGATCGTCAAGATGCACCCTCCAATGTTGTTTCTAAGCTAAATCTACTCAAGAATGTGTTTGATGAAGTTGGGGTAAAAAGTTCCCAAACAACATGCCCTAAAAAATGCTCAAAAATCACTTAAATAGACAAAAAAAGTCCCAGCATTCGCCTGGCGAAGTCCCGTTCGCCTGGAGAACATATGTAACATTTGCTTCTGTAAAAACAGTGTTTTTCACGCGTTTTTGAACTTTCGGTTAGCCTGGCGAACTTTTGTTCGCCTGGCGAACTTTGGCGAACATGACAGCAAACCAACTTGTTTCGACCATAACTTTTTAACCGTAACTCCGTTTTTTGCCCGGTTCGAAGCGTTGGAAAGCTTATTCAATGCTCTATCTAACAATGCTCCAACATCAATGCTTTATTACCTACAAAAATGAACAAAATTCAATTAAACTCAATGATATTTACAGGAAAACATAATATATACACTATAACGTAAAGTAAACGCATTTATAAACAAAGCGGGGTTTATTCGAACGATTTTAACATAAAGTAACGTTAAGTGCAACAAAACTTATATACAAAAATAGGTAAAATTTGCACTTAACATATTACAATTATCATGATTGCGCTTTCTAATATAATCACATATGAGTTTGGACTTAAAGCCCCCTCAACACTCACCAGCACAAAAGACTCACTTATTCATCAACTTAATTGTCACTTACTTAAAACTCAAAAACTGAATACATTTACATCAATAAGTAGTTATTAAATTAACAAAAAACATACTATTGAATCATGTAAATTAAAATTAATACTTAAAGTTATATATATATATATATATATATATATATATATATATATATATATATATATATATATATATATATATATATATATATATATATATATATATATATATATATATATATATATATATATATATATATATATATATATATATATATATAGTGGGGATCAACTTACTCCACATCATAAAATAGAATCTAATCTAGTGGTTAAATTAGCAATTTTACTTGTAACCATTCGATTAAATCTAATTTAAAGTCTATGATTGTGAAGTAAGTTATAAAAGCGTACTTTCGTAGTAAGTGGATCCTCACTTATATATATATATATATATATATATATATATATATATATATATATATATATATATATATATATATATATATATATATATATATATATATATATATATATATATATATATATATATATATATATATATATATATATATATATATATATATATATATATATATATATATATATATATATTTTAAATCTTATGATACCCGACTCCAATCATCTATCAAAATACTCATCTTTTATGTCTAAAGAACATCTCATGACTCCCAAAAGGGAAACATACTTACCATAACAAGTTCAAATTTTATGATCAAACTCGATCAAAAATTTAACACTTATGTTGCAGAGTTTTGTTTATTTATCCATCATTTAACACCTCTAATTTTCTATTTTATTTTATACCCATTAGTAGAACACTCATTTGTATGATGGACGCTAGATGAGTTGTCCATCTATGTTCAAAACATCAACGCAAACATATTAAACCTTTAGAGTTTATACTCTTAACAACAACAACATTATTCCTAACATATTTTAAACAAACTCAACAACATTAGTGTTAAGATCGTATCAAATATCATCATACTTGAACTCAAGTCTACTTACATATCCTCAAATATTCAATGCAACAAAAACACTAAGCCTGCAATCACTCAATAACAACAACAACAATAAAAACAACAACAACAACAATAAATCTTCAATAACTCAATAACAATAACACTAATTAAACTTTCAATATCTCAATAATAACAAAACATTAATATCACAATAACATTACCTTTATTAACTCAATAACAACAACAATAACAATAAACATATCACTTATCTCAATAAAACAACTAAGATAAAATCTTTAATAACATTCTCAACAACAACAAATAAATCTTTAGGGTTTAGACATCAACTACAATAACATTAAAACTACCATATCTCAACAACATTACGGTTACATGCATGATGGAGATATTTTACGTACCGGAAACGTGATGAAGAAGTCAAAGAGCTAAATATCGTATGAGTTTCATATTTCCTTCTTGCAAGTATCATTGTAGTTTCTCCTTCAAGTTTTTTCTTCGCATTTCCTTGCTTTGTACGACTTTGAGATATTGATGGAGTTCGACCATGTTTATTAAAGAACTAGTTTGAGAAGATATGGTGGTGAAGAAATGAAGATGATACAATGGTGAACGAGTTGAAGATTATACATGTTTAAGACTCTCATTGTTAATGGAGATGATAAACTTATTAGGGCTCAAAGTGATTTTTCATAAGTGTTAAATGTTACTAAAGAGACTTGACAAAGTAAGTTCTATTTTTTGAATAATAGTAAATCATTTCATCACGGTTGAAAAATTCAACTGTGATGAAATCCTATTTAGTTATTTTTATTTGAGTAAAACGCTAGTTTTTTGACAATTTAAAAATTAAAAAAAAAATGCCTAAACACGATTGATAATTTCAACCATGAGAAAAAGTGAATTTTATTAGTTTAAAAATAAATTAAAAAAAAACATTACTATGATATTAAATAAATCATAAATTTATCGAGGTTGATATTTGAACTCATAATCATTACAAGATTTTTCTACGGTTTCTATTTCCAACCATCGTAAAATGTAAATTGTTTTTAACTTTTTTTTTTGTTTTCACCATCAGTATTCGACTTATTGGATTGACTAATCTAGTTCAAAAGTTAGTTTTAGTATCAAATGATTCTAGTCTCTTTCTAATCGTAATTGTTGGAGATCGAACTGTGATACTCTCTATCAAATTCATCGTTAATCTAAAAATAAGTGCATTTGAGTTTTAAAATGCCACAACGGTTCTTTTTGACAACTAGGATGAAAACGAGGTTATAAGATGTATTATTTCTAGAAATGGTAGTTTGTGTATTGTCCAACATTAATGTTATTGTACTTCCGATTTTACTTGTTGTCCAAATAACTTCTATATTCTCGCTATATTTTCGACACTTATATCCTCAAATACAACATTTGCTTTTCGTTTCATAATGATGAAAATACTTTCTTCCTGTGATCATGTCTTAATTATTAGGCTTAAATATTGTCATATATTATTTAAGCTTTAAGATAAAAGAGTTTGTTATCTTCACAACAATTTTACTATCAACAAAATTAATATTATTTTTCAATTTCAACGATAATTTAGTGTGATTGAACTTTGCATTTCACAACAGTAACTCATAAAATGATCTCATCCATCCTCATATCTAATATACATTAACAGAAACAACATATTATGAGACTAACAAAACTTCAATAGTGTCAACTGCCAACATGATTAAAATGTCAAACACTCAAAAAATCACTCAAAATGAAATCCAAAACATGAACAAGCAAAAACACCAAATCAATATCTCAAACAAATTCAACAATCCGTATTTTTAATATGATCCCAATCCATGTTGATGCTGCAAGGATAAAGCCAAACTTGATGCTGGTTCAAACCATCCAAGCTTCTCAATGAGTTTCTTCATCATATCACCAGCTAAGTAAGAAAGCACTGTGGCAACAGCACCAGTGCTAACATAGAAAAACACTGTTTGGAAGTATGTCAAGTAACTGTTTGGTCTCTTGATATAAGCTTTGAGAATAGAGAGAAGTGTGATGCATATAAGAGAAGCTCCTGCAACTGCTGCTAGCTTGAAATCCTTTTCATCGTTTTCGCGAAATGAGAAGCCATATACAACTGGAGGAATTAGTCCAAAAACAATGAATGATAGGATTGCAATAAATGCATGAAGAATGAAATTCTTCCTCTCTCCTAGTACTTCATTGTATTGATCCACCACTGCTTCTGCTTCTGTGTTGGATCTTTTTGGTTGTTCACCTTTCAGTTCCCGTAGCTGCAAATATATACATGTATTAGAATTAAAAATAAGGATTGTTGAAACTGCGAAGATGCAGCCGTTATATTGCGGTTGTGGTAGTGTCTACATCCACATTAAGCCACAGTTACGGCGTAATAATAACTCACATTATGACCAAGGGCAAAAAGTCCACCAATCAGGTTCGCAATAGCCAGTGCAACAATGTTCACTGCAAAAATTGATCCATTAATTTCTCTTTCATTTTCTTAAAAAAAAAAAAACAACCTGAAAAAATTATTAAATTAAGTAACAAAGAATAAGAAAGTCCTACATGTGGCTGCATCAGCACTTGCTGCAGAAGTCACAACACTAAGACTCGCTAATGATTCAGCTAAACCACCATACACAATACTTTTCACAATCTCCAATTTCTTGCTCCTTGTTTCTACAATTGGATTACTAGGAGTAAGAAGAGGTGTTCTTTCAGTTACAGAAGGAACAACTTCTTCACCCGATCCTGAAATATCAAATTATATGAGTTAGTTAGAAAAACATCAGAATGTGACACGATCCAGACATTCTTACATTGAAAATGTCAAAACCGTTATTGGACACCGATTTGTGTCAGAGACAGCACATATTCTCGAACAAAGTGAAAATGATATTTACCTGCGGATGCTCCATCGACTTTAACTTCCACAAAATCTGCCTGTTCCTTGTCTGGAAAGTCAGTTTGAGGTTGAGAAACAGAAGATATAGCTTTCCAATCACTATTTTCTTGAGAGAGAGTTTCAGTTTGTTTTTTTATTTCAGAGGAAGATGTAACTTTCCAATCTCTATTTTCTGTAGTGACAGTTTCAGAGGCTTGAGAAGAAGTTCCACCTATAACACCCCATTTCCTCCAAAACTGTTTTTTCTTTGTTACAACTTGACCTTTCTGAGGTTCATGAATAACCACATCTTCAATGATTTGCAGGGTTTGTTTTCCTGATTCATCTACAGTTCTTGTGACGGATTTATGCAACTCATCAGATTGAACAAGTTTTGATGTATTGTGTTGTGATGAAACTTCGAGTGTTTGTTCAGTGATTGAACTTTGAATGTTTGTTACAGATTGATGCACTTTTTGGTTACTTAATGAACCTATTTTCGAAAAAGAAAAAAAAAACAATATTTAGAATCTTATTAGGAATGATAAGATACATTGTTAATAAAAATATGACATTTTAAAATTTTAAATTTAAGTAATAATTCATTAGAACGAATCGAGATTCATATTAATTGAATTACCTTGATTGTTTAATTCTCCTTCTCCATTAGATACCAATCCAGGGAATAACCAATTACCTGTTCAATCCAAAGAAAAATTCAAATCGAATCGGTGAGACTTTCACATCATATTATACCATAAGGTTATCAAAATTAAACCAACGGACAAAGTAGTTGATTTCTAGTTCAATCAGTTGAATCAACTGGTTCGGTCCGATTTTAAAACATTACATGTATGGTAAACAAAAATTACCTATTGGAATGAGGAAACTGAAGCATGATGAACATCTTATTGTCTCATCTTGTCGCATAGGTTGAATGTAGATTCTTTGAATATAAACCTTTTGGATACAAACATTACAATTGGGACAGTAAAATCCATGTGATGGTGGTTTCTCAAACACATTTTCCAAATAAAATTCTTGTTTTTCTCCACCATTTTCTTTTACTATGATAACTTTGTCACTTTCATTTGTAACATTGATCAAAGAAGTAGAATCTTCATCAAGAGGAGGATCAGAAGCAGGTAAAATCATGTCATTCTCATCAATTTTCTCTTGTGGAATTATCATTTCAGCATTCCTTTCGGCTATCACAACTTCGAATTTTGGATTCGTCTCCGATTCAACAAAGTCTAAGCCTCCACCTATGAGTAAATAAATTCCATACAACACAATCAATAATAGAGAAAAACAAATTATGTTTAAAAATTTCATTAAATCAACTCAGTTGATAGCTGTGCAGAGACATCAGATATAAAATCACATATACCTTTTTCTTCGTTATCTGAATTGCTAGTACTACTGCTGCTAGCATATTGAGCAACAACACTCTTTCGTTGCAAGCTTATTTCTTCAACTTCATTATCATCAACTTCATTATTCCATTGATTTCCATTAATAACTTCCATTTTTCTCTAACACACTCAAGAGAAAAAGGCCTATAGCCAAATTTTGATGTGTGAAATACTATATAGAAACTGATCAATTTATAATGAAACTTTGACATTTGAAAATGGATACTATATGCATGTGATGATATGGTAGTTAGGTGTGGAATTACATTGTAATAATATTTAATTAACTATAGTTGAATAACTTCCATAAAAAAATATTTAAAAAATGAAAACATCTGTTTTCAGGGTGTCAGCAATAAATAAAGGATGATGTTCTCTGCACGTAATTTTCTTTGGCTATTATATTATTTTCGAAATAATTAAATAAATATTTAAACTTTTAATTCACCCTCTTTTTCTTTAGTGCAAAACAATATTAGGCCTAATTAAAAACAAATGTAAAAAATCATTTTTATATATTACTATATTTCTCTTTGCTTGTGGCTAGAATTTCAATTTTCTGTTGAGTAAAATCTATAATTCCTACTTAATATAAATTATATCCAAGCTTCTATTTATTTTTTTTATGTCAAATATGATGTCACCAGTATGAAAGCTTTTTTTTTACAAAGCATTGTGAAAGCTTATTGCATAGTTAATTAACTAATAATATTATTTTTAATAAATTAGTATGAAGTGAATAGATTTACACGAAACACGTCCTTCCCCATGACCTTTTCTATAAGAATTTAAATCCAAAGATGATCTGGGCCATCATATAAATTAATTTTAAAAAGTGATCCAATTAAGTTTCACATTATTTATAATGATTTTCTAATATGGCTTTGACTTTCATATATCAAATGCAATCTCTAAATTATTTACAGACTTTGAGTGAGGTAGTTTAATTTGTGTGTGATAGTTGATTTAAATGATACGTAAATTATAGAATTAGAGTTTAATTTTTAACGATGTCATTTATTTTTATTTATATATTAATTTTGAAAATTATTGAATCACTGTTTTTAAATTGGTTTAATTTTTTAAATTGATGATTTTAATGATTTATCTTTTATTTTCTTTATGAATTTAATATTTTTTCTTTTGGATTATTTGCATATCGAACTTCTCCAATTTGCCAATGATACGATTTTGGTTTGTGATGGTAAGCTGAATAATTTATAGACCATTAAAATTTTATTGAGTGATTTCAAACTTGCATCGGGGCCGTGTGTGAATTTAAATAAGAATAAGGTTTATGGGATTAATCTTCATGCATAGAAAATCATGATAAGGCAGATCAGTCTATTGATCAAATAATAAATTTTCTTCTTTTTAGTTACAACCAAAAATGAACATAACTCTTAAATAGTCGACAAATTATTCAAACTTGATACTTGACGAGCGTCAATAATAAAATGCCAAAGTTGAAATTTCAAATTAATCTTCTCTTACTCATTGAAGTCCATAGGATAATATTTTTCAACTACAGTGCCTTGTAATTATCCTTGAGAGTCAAAGCACCACTTAGAGTTAACAAATCAATCGTTTGCTCACTAAATCTGCTATTCAACTCTCTTGCAGTTGTTTGTCAATGGTAGTGAAAAATATTTCAATTCTAAAATAATGCTCAATGCTTACTTGGTTATCTTCAAGACGAGAACGATAAAATCTTGTGGTTGAATGAACATCATTAAGATCAGGAATCTCAATATCTTGTTTTTCATAAAAAGACTTCACATAAGCAAACAATTCATCCCAACCAATTTTTCTTAAATCTTGAATAAGAGTTTTTGTTGTACTAACCAAATGCATAGCATTTAATACATCCTGAGATTGTTGTTATAAAGCTTGACAAAGCATATTTGTGATCCTCATAATTTCTTTCATCAAATGCAATATGAATATGAAATCAAATGACTTCAAATAATTGTAAGCACTATCAGCATCTCCACGTGAAACATAACTTAATCATTCCTTTGCAAATTTTCTTGAAACATGACAAGTTGCTTCATACATATTCATTAAGCTAGAAATAGAAGAGAAGTGTGATCCCCAATGAGTATCCCCAGCTCGCTTTAAAGTACCGATTTGATTTTCACCTTTACCAGTTACAATCTCACCTATCTCTAATAAGTGTTCATTTTCATCTAATTGAGAAGCTTGTAACTCGTCGTGGCGCTTTGTAGAAGAACAAGCAACATTGACAATTAAACTTTAGGGACTAGTATCGTTTCTCACAACTTAACCATTGATTCGTCGTCAAGCCGGTTCCATTTTCAATCAAACATCGACTCATTGTCGAGCCCCTTTTCAAATCAATTTTCATTTCACCACGTCTTTGCACGCAAATAAAGTCAAACCCTTGATCTAACGTCAAATAGTATGTTTAGCCAAGTTGTAAGTCGAGTGTCTTTTGCCTCACAGTCCACCTCTTTTTGCAATGTATTTGATTCAATCTCCTTAAAACGCTTTTCTTAAACAAATAACAAAAGAAGGGGATTCTTGGAGTCTATCATTCCTTGAATCTTCGAATGAATGGCTCTTGAGATGCAGGTTTAGGGTTGTCATTCATTCAACCTTTCATCTTAAAACACCTAATCTATATCAAACATTTTCATAATCAAAGTTACAAAAGAAGGAGATTCCTAGAGTCTAGCATTCCTTGAACCTTCGAATAAATAGCTCTCGAGGAACACCCATTTATTCGTTGTTCATTCACTCTTTCGAATTAAAAACATTCAACTCTTTCTCTTCAACTCGTTCAATCAACTCACGAAAGAACTGAGTTCTTGGAATCTCGCATTCTTTGGGTTCTTGAGTGACAGCTCTCGAGGCACGCCCATTGGGTTGCTTGTCATTCAATCTTTCGCTTCCAACTCAAACTACAAAGAAGTTCAACCCTTCATCTTTTTCGTGGTCGTCTCCACAAACTACGGATGCTCTAATTCTTCAATTATGCTTGAATGTAAGATATGTAGGCACAAGATTGCGATGATCTTGGCAAGCACACTTCCATTTTTCTCCATTATTCTACGTTCCCTCCACCTTTCGTTTCCCCTATATTATTTCCCATAGTCGAACTACGAGAGCTCTGATTTCTCATTCTCATCTAAATGAGCATACGTAGGCACAAGGGTCCCAATCTTTGGCGAGCACCCTATCCTATAACCACCATTTTCCCCTTAGCGTCTTTATCCTTTTATCTTGCCAATTCACATTTATCATTGAGAAAAAACAATCAAGCTTAGAGAACGCCCATCACAAATCGTACTAAGAGGTTCCCGTTGAGTACAACGGACGTGAGGGATGTTAATACCTTCTCCTTGCGTAACCAACTCCCAAACCCGGAACGTGGTTGCGACAACCATTGTTCATGTCTTTTCGAGGTGCGACAATGTGATTGAGCCTGTGTCGGAGAAACCTACCGACTCGACCTTCACGTAGAAGTTCCCTATGGATAAGAACGGGGAGGATCTGATAAATGAGGAAGGCAAGATAGTTCTCCAAAGATCGTTCACGTTCCTCTTCTGCTGGAGTGGGGCTCATTTTACCCGCTCGATTGATGAATATATAGTTACTCCTCATCAGTTGGGCGATGATGATCTGGCCAGCTATGCTAAGCTGGTGGCCTTTATGGACGGTTTCCTTCCTGCCTAGTGCATGACTCGCGCTCGGCAGGTGCTTTATGAAGAGGATGGGGGGCTACAGGTGGAAGTCTGGTATATCAACACTAAAGAACTCCTCGAGTGTAGCACTCGCGAGGAGGCTCTCAAACTCTTTGGTAGCTTCTTGCTTCTTATTAAATTCGAGATATTTCTCTTTTCACGTGCTGAGAGGTGGTTGCTTCGTCAGCATCAGTCTTGCTCACGGCGAGGAAAACAGAGTTGCGAGCATCAAGGTTGTTGTCACGGCTGGTCATGATCGGAAATTTGAAGAATTGTTTTGGTCTCGTGTCTACGAAGAGAGAAAAGATGGGGATAACAAGTTCTCCACAGACGGTGTCACTGATCTTACCGGTTGATCAGAACCTGAGGTGGACCAAAGACAACCGTCTGTGATGTTGGGTGTGAAAGAGGATGAGGGAGTGTACCTGCAAGGCACTCCGATTCTAAAGTAAGAAAACGACCAAGAGAGAGAGCAAGTACAGAATATGAGTATTTTATATCTGACCCTCTCAAGTGAGAAGGTTTTTATAGTGCCTCCAGCATTTGGCCATTGGTCCCTATTTTCGGAGGGTGATAACCGTTTCCCGAAGAATGTGTAACTACCAGAACTAGTCGTTGGAACCGGCAGATGTGCACATAACGAGTCATTGCTACGGGCAGGGGCGTAGTTACGGGCACATGTGTCTTGGCTGTTTCTGGATGGCGGAGTCGTGCGTGACGGACAGAGACTAACGAGGAGAAGTGTTGTGACCAAGGGTAAATTGGTCAACCTCCCTTGTTGGGGGGCAGAAAGGTAAATTCTCCTCCCAAATAGTTGGAGTTAGACAATTAAACCGTTCTACAAGCAGAAGTGGATAGGGTCAGACCTAACCATTGGATCAGTCCAGAGCACTACTAATATTACTCTTCATTAGGGCTGGCAATGAACCAAACCAACTCGAAGATAGTTCGGAATTCGACTCGACAATTAAATCGTTGAACTAGGTTCATGAACCAAATGAGTTGAGTATGAGCGAAAAATTAAGTTCGTTAACTAAATGAGCTGAACTTGAACTATACATAGTTCGACTCGTTAGGTTCATGAGTCAACTCGGTTACATATGAAAAGAATTATACTCTCTTTAAGATTAGGTTTAAATATTTACTTCAAATCTTAGACAAATTTAATCTTCAATTTAGTAGTTTTTGAATTAGACTCTCAAATGTATCTCTTGAAAGTTGTGTAGGTTTTGAATTAGTAGATTTCAAAGATAAAGTTAAATTTCAATATGATAACTTTTATTTTATTTTAATATTTTATTTAAAAAATATATATTTATTTAAAATGTAAAATATACTAAAAAATATATATATTTAAAAAAATAGTTTTTAAGTTCGTGAACCATGTGAGATGAACCTAATGAGATG